TGTCACAACATCCTTTTTTAGGTCTGCAAAATCAATACTATAACTGAACAGCCTGCAGATGGATTAGTTGCAAGAATTAGCTATGACCTTGTGTGAACATCTGGCACACATGCATAGATGGATGCTAACTGGACATTCATTAATGCAATAGGCTAGAGTAGAGGGAAAGGGGCCTGTGGTCAGCCACAATTATAAGGTGACTGAACTTTACAGCTTAATTATTAATTAAAAAACATTGCCCTATAATCAGGCCAATATCATAGTAATACATTAACGTGTCTTATGCATCAACAGACAATAAAAATACAAAATGACCAGTTTCAGATAAAATTTCTTAACTAGAAAATGGAAGAATGGCAAAACAAATACATTTTCAACATTTTTTGAAAAAAAAATCTAATTTACCAACTTAAGAATCAACTCCAGTTTAAATGTTAGTCACTTGTGACTAAAAAATAAACCAGCAGATAATTCATTTTTTAATCTATAATTATGTGACTTTAACTGTTTCCTTCCAAACTTACCTAAAAAATGAAGGTGTTTTTGAATGTGTTGTAGAAGTACTAAATCATTGTTATTTATTGATAATAAAACAACTGTTAATAGAAAGTCAAATTATAATAAAACCAAGTTTCAAACATATATACAAATCTAAATGCCAGTGGGTCTCACAAAATGTAATCCTTTGTCATCCCAGTGCAACCATCATCAAATTCAAATACAACCACAAACATTATACAAATAATATATTATTTTAACCACTGAAGCAGTTGGTCTTATGTTAATGTACTTTGTAATACTTGCATAGTTCATCTGCTTTTATACTATTACCATATGTTATTGTTACATACACACTACAGTACAGATTAACTTATGAAGTACACCAATTTATCACAGCTGTTGTCAAGCAATTCATCAATATAAACAACATCTCAACCTCACTATGTCTGCCATATCCCAGCCAGCCTGCAGAGCTCTAGTATGAAAGACCTGGAAATAGCAGATGGTATGGTTGGCAAGTTATAATACACTTTCTTTTTTTTAACTGCCACTCAGTTCTTGAGTTTAGTTCAGTTCTTAGTTATTTTATTAAATAATTAATGTTCAGAACTAAATAAATCATTCCTTCTCCTAGGAAGTAGAATTTAAAAAGTCAATACTGAATAATGCATTTTATTATTAAAAAATTGGCATACCTTCTTTTATAAAAATTTTTTGTGAATACTTGAGCATCCAAAAACAGTTAGTCAACATAAGCAAAAAACACCCAAGTAGAATGACGACTAAAAACTCTTGTTTCATTCTTAATTGGCTGACTAACGCTTAATTATATCATTACCCTTAAACTTTGTAAACTTTACATGAATTACCAACAAGATCAGTATCAGTCACTATCACAGATCACAAGAAAATATTTGCTTCATCTATAAGTAATCAGTGTTATCGTTACTCGATGATCACGTTTCATTTTCATTATTTTTCCGATGATTCAGCGATAGTACTCATACAAGTAAAATTTAAAGCCTACAATAATAAGATGTTTATAAATTTGTGTTAATGTCATCTCAGCTTTTTTCACTTTTGTCAGCTAATACCTATAAATATAACCTTAATCACTTGTTCATTGAAATCCAACTAAACCTGACACCCCCAAACCTAAGCCTACAGATCCTAGCTTCGTAACACATCCGGCAAACTACAGGTGGCAGGTTATCTAAGGATGATTGAGGTGAACAAGTTAAAACATGTTGAGATTATTTAAATCTGATCGTTTTGTTGTATTTATCTTATATTTTATTAAATTGTTATAATTAATCACACACTCATGCATTAAATAGGTTGTTATCAACTGAACCACTAAGCAGCACAAAGATTCCTTAATTAAAACCAAATAAGTCAAACCAATTTACCCAAATTTTCAAAAGAAATACGTAAAGCATAATGTTTAACAAGTTGTATGGAATATTTAATCGAAGTTTATTAAATTTTCCAAACACCGTAAAAATGGTCAAAGAAAGAAAATTTCCGTATATACACCTATAATGGACAAAAACAATATCAATGAAACTAACAAATATGTTATCTAGTGGTTCAGCTTTAAGTCTACTGCTTTATCACACTAAAAATCGGGTTTCGATACTCGTGGTGGTTACAGCACAAGTATCGTGTTGTGTAGCTTTATGCTTAACAACAAAACGAAGCCAAAAAATAATCTAAAAATGCGCAAACATTAAATGAAATGAAAGCTTTCCTAAGAAAATAGTGAATATTACAATGTACTAAATAAAGCCTATATTGTATTTGATAATTATCAATAAAAGCAGCAAAATGGATCACTTCACTGCAAACTCTTATTCCCAGTGGTTTTAACATTCGAATTATATTGTAAAGGCAGTAAATATAGAGCTCAAAATTTTTGCTTGTAGCAGCATCTTAATTTCTAAACATGAATTTCTACCGTGTTATAATATCTAACTTGGAAGTAACGTGAAAATTATATAGCGTTCTAAACATTCTGCCTATAGTTTTAATTTTTAAATTATACCGCAAATAACTGATTTACAGGCGATTTCAAAACAACCGCATGAAGCAGGAACATTTACCAACAAAATTTTACGTACATATATAAAAAGAAATTCAGAACTCGTGAAAGTTTCAAAATGACATTTTAATTATACCGCAAAACACCTAATGAAAACAATGGTTAAAATGTACTTCTAAATTTTCACTTAAACCACGAAATATCTAATAATAATTCATATCCTGATATTTTAATTAATAATTCTTAAAATTTTGAGCTGATATTATCAGAACATTGAGCCAATAGTTAAAAAAGGGAATGATTATGTTGAGCCAACATTGTTTGCCAATCTGGTGCAGGACAGACCATACGTTATGTTTTCTGTTCCCTAAATTATTGTGTAAATAAATTTTTTAAATAACTGCATTTTTCAGCGTCCTCGCTTTGGATAAGTTGATGATATCTCAAGGTTGCAGCCTTTATTTCTTGTAAAAAACAACTAGTCATATGGTGACACTTATTACTTATGAGTAAAACCAAGGTCTCCTGTTAAGAACAGAGAGCCGGTTTTAGTGAGAATACATGTATATCTACTTGGTTCAAGACATGAGTCGATTGATGGAAATACACATTACTAGAACATAACTTTTGATTGCACCAGTTGATTGTGACCAACTGAGAACAACACACCATGCTCCCCTACCTTCTATCAGGATATAGTATTTTTTCTCGAAATTATCTATTATTTTCACACTGTCATGGCGGCAACACATGGTTCTGGATATTTATCATTATTTTGTTCTAGTTATTTAAGCCTTTCGTCTCTTAATTTTACGGGTCTTATCTTCTTCCGTACTGGTTTCTGTCTCGTTGGCTTCTGCTTCACGGAAAGTTTATCTGCTCCATCAGGAAATTTCCTATCATCGGTAATAGTCACATCGGTGGTAGTAACTTCATGAAGAGCTGTACTATTTCCCTTCTCAAAACCGAGTAGAGTTTCTTCTTCGACAGTGGCTTTATCAGGTGACACGTCTTCAGTGGTGTCTTTTGTTCCATTGTTCACTTCGTCCCAACTGAAATGTCCTGGACCATGATAACACCAAAGCCTGTTGGCATGCACCCCCTTTGGCTTACTTCGCCGACCACATTTTATTCGGAAAGTCACGTCTGAGAGACGATCCGCTATGTCATATGGGCCTTCCCATGGAGAGGACAACTTAGGAGACTTCCCTGTGGTCTTCCTGGGATTATACAACCACACCTTGTCTCCTGGTACAAAGCTGACTTCAGTAGACTTCTTATCATAACATAGCTTCATGGAATCAGCAGTACGTTTTTAAG